TTATATCTATCCGGACTGGGTAGATATCACGTAGTCCCATATACGGTACATCTTTCTGTGTACAGTGCTTGTAACTTTACCAAGACTGGGGCAAATTTCTTATCATTTTGATGATTCCACAACGTTGCAGTACACACCAATACTTATACGCTAGATGATCAACCTTTTCTGATCGATGCAACAATGTTTCTTTCACAATGCAATCGTATGACCAGAACTGGTCTATACCTCTAACATGTGTAACTAAAGGTGCTTCTGAACTTTGTAATAACTTTTGAATCCTATTTCAACTTCCAAATGGTTTTTGAAATGATTTGCATAGAAATATTCTTAATAGCCTTGACAGTACATGTACATATATGTCTGTTTTCAAACAAAATTTCTATGTTATTGTCCTTAGGCCTACACATTGTCTCTATATTCGGCTAACACAAAGGAAGAGAAATAATCATTATAACATAGTGAACCTGAGTTTTCTTCATGTTTTATATGATGCCAAGTGTATTGAGATGCAAGTCTCCATAATGTTTCTGTAGTGTTAGTCTAAAGTGGACCTGGAGTTAAAACATGAAGGATATAATTGGGCAATCGTAGAGTCATTTTTACTCATGTACACATACTTATAATGAAAAAACTGTAACCATGAAGCATCTTTCATTATATACACTGTACAGGAAAGCCTGGTTTTCTTTTTAAATGTACCCTATGGACCTGTTGAACTACATGTATCAGTAAGATGGAAAATGATCAAGAAAAAATGCTTCAAAGGGCTGGTCCCATTTTTGACTCGTAACAATAAATAATACTGTAAATTGATCTTTTGAAGTTTATGTGTGAAAGGTATCAGATATGCTACTGATCAGGAAAAAAATTGTGGTGAAGGGGTATATGGATAGCATCAGTGAAATGGGAACCAATACCTTTTTTTACATTACCTTCCAGAGAGCAATTTGGGAATGATTGATAGTAATAGTTTATGATCACTATAGTCCTTGTCATCATTGGTCATAGACCATTTCTATCGATAACCAAGTAAAATGTTCCCCAGGGAGTGGAAAAAGTGCCTTGTAAGTGCAGAATTGTTGAATACAATGACTGGTGTATTAGCATGTTGTAAAACACTGCAGTCACTGTTTATACAATCACTTAGATAAGTAATAAAAGCAATTATAAAATGGGTTCAAGAATGTAGCCAGTGAGAAGCGTCAAAATGGATCATGTGTCCATGCATTCAGTTTGACCATATGCACAGGAGTGCATTTAAGTGAAAACAAATGTGCAAAAAAAGTGCACCAAAATGTCGAAATGCACACCAACATATAATTCAATTCATGTTTACGAGAAGTCGCACCATGCACTGCACAGTCAGTTACAAGGCCACTGCTTCCGTGTGCATATGTTATTTGTTATGAAGGTTGCAGGGTTAAAGTGTTATCGCCCTGTTAAGATTTGATAGTAGACCCATTTTATAAAACAGATAATACCCAGGTTTTTGTTCGTGACGTTATGGCGAATATGCGGTGCTATTCACAATGGCTCAAAATGCACTTGGCTGCGCCTTATGCATTTTATTGCACCAGTGTGAATCACCTAATGTGCCGCATTGCCATAACGCACTCACGCTTGTGTATTATTTGTATATTACTGGTACTTCCCACAATCAGTTTTTTCCATAAGTTTTCAACAATTTCTTAATGTATATTTTGTTATCATAACCCATTGGCTACATCTTTATTGTATGCTTATTTCATTTGCCAGGTTGAAAAATAAAGTATGAAATTAAAACAAAGAATTTTAGATAGTTGTTTCAGTTTCCTTAGTGTAAAAGTATCGGTTTTTGTTATTGTCTTATTTTTAATCAATTCAGGACTGCACAGTTTAACACTGAGTTTTGAAAAAGAAAGTACCCTGCTGAAGTTTGATTGTACATTGTCATATCTGCTGTCAGTAAATTTATGAGTAATGCAATATATATAATATATATATATATATATATATATATGCTGTAACTGACAAGAAAAATGCTGTAACTGACAAGAAAAAAAAGTCAAGTTTGGTTTTGCTTACTTTGTAAGTTCTTTTCAGGGATTTGGAGTTTCGGACTGGTCTGGTAACTCATTTAGGAACACACTTCAGTCCTTTTGACACTAATTTTGACACTCAAAAACACATTTTCTTTTCCTTATTACAGTGTATTATGTGGTTACATTGCAACACATACATGTATGACCCATTTAAAATATTCTAAGGAAATGTGTAGACATCAGACTTGGAATAATAATAATAATAATAAGATCGGATATTTATATAGCGCACATATCCACCATGCAAGGTGCTCAAGTTACACTGTCTGACATATTTTTTTCTTAGAGTTGAGATGATAATAAACATGAAATGTGAAGGAGCATTTGAAGACATTTTTTTAACAAAGTGAACTTCATCTTGTTATCTGTCTATCCAGCAATCTATTTAGCTGTCTGTGTATCTGTATTTATGTCTGTCTATATGTAAATATATCGGTTTGTCCATTCATCAATTGATCTCTCTTTCTGTTAGTGGCTTCTCATGATACACCACCTGCAGTCTAAATGCATTTTTTTGGAGGGGGTGGGGAGGGAGGGGGAGGGGTCCCAGCCAAGTACCAAATATCTCTGACTCTACATTTCTTACTATCAATCTGCAATCTGTCTTTTATCTTTGTTTTTAAGGTCTCTCTCTCTCTCTTTCTCTCTTTCTTTCTTTCTCTCTCTGTCTCTCTCTCTCTCACTCTGTCTCTCTGTGTAGCTTTCAATGTTATTTTGTAGTACATGTATTTATCTTGAAAAGATAGAAAAGGAAGAGAGAGAGAGAGAGGGAGCTCTGTGTTGTTGTTTTGGGGGTAATTTTTTATTCACTTCATGCAATACATGTACATGTATATCATACAAATACAAATTATTTCAAATTACATTACAATAACAAATATACACAACTCAATTATTTTGAATGAAAAAAATATTTTCATGATAACCCCCTTTCCCAAATTAAAACGCAAAACAATGACGAATCTTACCCAAAACAAATATATATTAAAAAAATTAAAAAGCCCACACCCCCCCCCCCCCCCCCCAAAAAAAAACAAAAAAAAAAAAAAAAATGTGAGCAGTCCATGGCAGTCGATAGCGGTAAATCACACAAATGCGAACTGAGCGGATCCCGGTTTATTGGGTAGACTATGGCTGGCAAAAACGGTCAAGAAATCCCCCAGCTATGATCTTTCTACACATTTACTTAAATAGGAAGTTATCACTTCCGGTCCGCATCCATTCAATGTTCTTGTTTATTATCACCGTTTATAATGGAGTGTCAATATTTTTCGTTCAGTAGAAGTCTTTCTATCTTATTGTTCGCTTTTAAATAATTTTCCCTTTATTTCCTCGATGCTTGGAGGCTTTTTTTTCTTCCTCCCTACTTACAAATATCATATATCTGATTAATAACACAACGTGATTAAATATTTGCCTATCTTTATTTACTTCATCCAATCCAATTTGAACTTCCTTCCAGCTCATTTCGTTAAGAATAGGAGGATCCAGGATATCACTACGTTGTTCCCATATAATCATCTCACTACAAGCATTAAACAAATATGTGCATATATGTTTCCTCATCCTCATCTCATCACAGAATGAGCATTATTTTATCACTTGAAATGAATTTAAACCGTAAACAGCGATTAATAATAATAATAATATTTAATTTTTATATAGTGCTTAATACAAATGTCTCTAAGCGCTTTACAAATATACTATTACCCCGGTCATTGGATCCAGTGCTTGCCCGCACACACTGTGTGCACAATCTCCACTCCCTGGGGAGCATTCCAGCCGGGCGTTACTTGACGCTCACAAGCTGTTTGACCAACAATGACGGTCGCATCCTACCGGGTACCCATTTAAGACCTGGGTGGAGTGTAGCAAGTGCAGGTTAATATCTTGCCAAAGGATTAACATAAACATTTCGATTAACATAAATAATTGTATGAAGCAGTTTGAACTAAAATTGTCTTAGTTTATCATCTAATGTGCTGATTCTCGGACGGACAAAAACCATTTCAATTTCTTTAATCGACAGATTATATGATGATTGTAAATTATGAAAACTGACGGGGAAGTCAGGCAGTTTAGTATGCAGGCCCTTTACAAATTCTTTGAACAGACCGATTCAAATTGCATAGTTTTCTTTGTAAACATAAATTCTATTTTTTGACTATCAAATGAAATTTGCCTCTTCGTTAAATCGATTTTCCATTCTACAGGTATATATTAGCGTAGATTTCTTCAAGAATTGATATTTTCCTCTTCCTCTTATTCCGATACATCTGAAATAAGTGTTGGACTTTAATGATCCTTTTCCATCTATTATATGATACAACCTGTAAGTATTTTTTAAGAAAAGGTTTTCATTTAAGTATGTTTTTTCTCTATTACTATAAATAAACAAAATCTAATTCTCTGGATAATAGTTATGCTATCGTGCATATTTCCTCAGTATAAAAACCTTCTCATTACAAATCATATTGTATACAACCTTGACCAGGCGCGTACGCAGGATTTTTTCAAGGGGGGGGGGGGGGTTAACATTTATAAATCGGTTCGAAAATTTCGCAACGACTCAGCCAGCCGCTGAATAAGCGGGGGGGGGGGGGGGGGTAAGAGGACACTTTTTTGGGGGGGGTTTCGAAATTTGGAAATTTGACATTTTGCTCAGTTGGGGGAGGGGGGTGGTAAGGTCAATTTTTTTAGGTCGGTCAAAAGGGGGGGGGGTTTAGGTTTTTTTAGGGGGGTTTACATACATAAATTTACCAAAGGGGGGGTTAACCCCCCCCCCCCCCCTGCGTACGCGCCTGACCTTGACTAATTGATGTGAACGTACCCTTGTCTTATGTTTGATAGGTGTGTGAAGTGTTTAAATGCTTTTAGGTTAGAGGGCATGTAATTCCTACATTTTTTTTGTTTTTGTTTTTTTGTGAGGCGGTGGTATATAGAGCTGCTTATGCTACGTTCCCGGCGGCCACGGCAGCCCCGTTTGCCCGAAACGTAGTGCGCCGTTTGATTTTGGCCCCAAAAAATATGGTCGGTTTTAACAAAAATATAAACAAATAAAACCGTTTTTTAGAGAGAAAAAAACATTAAAGCATTCAAAACTGAGAAATATCAGCCCAAAGAGGGCGAAAAAACTTATTAAAAAAAAGAAGATTTCCGACATGCTACCATGCTGCCCTACTATTTGTTAAACTGAAATGCTTCAAGGTTAATGATATTAACTTCCTCCACCAAATTGCCATATTAATGTTCCGTTTCAATATCAAATTGTTATCTACTTCATTATCTTCGATGTTCTAACCTAACATGGTTCACTCATATTCAACAAGGCAGTTATCGAATTTACATGTCGTCAAACCTCGTACTACATTAGCCTAGAAATCAATCAGACACAGGGGTCCAGATGTATGGAATTCTCTACCTTACAATATCTGAAATATAAAACCTCCAAACTCCTTTAAGAGAGCACTCAAATGTCTTATCATTTCTCAGATATAAGATATTACTTATATAAATCTATATCAGTTCTCATTGAATACTAGGACACTGCTAATGTTTGAATGTCACAGATAGGACATACCGACATATTCATAATTCCTGCAAAGTTCTACAGAATTAAATGTTGGTTTCAAAAGGGACATATTATCTTTAAACTGTAAGGATATCTCAGATTTTCACACATAATGTACTTTTGAGCTGTTTTATTATTTATATAAGCATGGAGCATCCTCTTGCATTTAATAAATGTGCCCTCAATCGCACATCTCCCTTTTTTGTTGGGAAGTGTTAAAGTGCATCTGTGGTCGATCTTCTGAATATGGAAATGGCTTCATGAGAAAGATAAGGTATGGATACCTGCGTAATAGAGATGAGATGAGAAAGAGAGAGAGAGAAAAAAACAACATTAATAACATTTGTTAGGGTAGGGAAGGGCATCCTATAGAGCATAGCCAAATAAAAGTGTATTTACTATTTTGCATAATGCAGTGATTATTTTGTTATCTGTCAAAGCAAACAGGGTGTACACTAGAAATACAATTTTTGTCACAATTTACCTTACAATAGACTTTATATTCATGTTTATAACAAGGTACAAGTTACAAAACTAACCATGTTACCTTCATTTTTAGATAAATAAACGTATGCAAGATGTACATATGCTTTAAAGTCTAGGCCACCGAAAATGTTTGAAAGATAGATGTTAATGGCGCCACCAAATTTTGTACGTGCATTTGCAATTTGTAAACATATACTTTGCATTGAATTGTTCAAATGTAATTGTATAGGTTGTTTGAATCCTAGAATATTGCTAACATATGCAACACACTCAGTATCTGGTAGAAACCTAGTGCAATCGATTTCTTACACTTTATTTGCTATTTTGCCTGCAAAACAAAATCCTTTATATTATTTTCTCTAGTTTTTTACTGGCCATCGAAAATATCAACACATGTATTCAAGTATTTGTTGGGCCACTAGAAAGAAATACTAATGCGTACTAATTTTTTTATAGCTATAGATTTTGCTTTTTTGGTGAGATATTACCTAGGAGTACTTAAAAAAAAACGTTTGTGGCTATTGACTGACAAACTTATTTACACAATTACAGTCTATTACGTGGAAACGATGTACTATGTGTTTATGTAATGGGCAATTCGGATTCTACAACATTTATAGTCGTAGGGTTTAATTTACATTTATATTAATTTGAATTCAAAGTACCTCATCTAAAAGGTTCATCCTCAGATATCTCATACCCACCAATTCGGAGTCCTCTGACTGGGTGTACGGCTATTTCTAGCACCTCTTCCACCTCTGTGGAAAGAGAAAGTGGTAGAATGATTAAAACAAAGAATATCATAATTTAGATTCAGATTCAGATTTTGGTCCATTTGGAAATTCAGTTGTTGGCATTACATAAAGCACATAAACAATATACTGTGGAAAAAGAAAGTGATAGAATGATAAAATAAAAGAATATCATAATTCAGATTCAAATTCAGATAAATTGTATTGGTCCATTTGGAAATTCAGTTGTTGGCATTACATAACGCACATGAACGATATACAATAGAGAATGATATACACAGATAGATAATACAAAGTAGCAAATGTACAATGACATACTCAAGAGAAGGTGATAGAAGAAAGGAACAAAGAAGAATGATAAAAACCAAGAATATCATTGGAGAAGGTGATAGAAAAAGAAACAAAGAAGAATGATGAAAGCAAAGAATATCATAAGAGAAATTGATAGAAGAAGAAACAAAGAATGATAAAAACAAAGAATATCATACGAGAAGGTGATAGAAGGAAGAAACAAAGAAGAATGATGAAAGCAAAGAATATCATAAGAGAAGGTGATAGAAAGAAGAAACAAAGAAGAATGATGAAAGCAAAGAATATCATACGAGAAGGTGATAGAAGAAGAAACAAAGAAGAATGATAAAAGCAAAGAATATCATAAGAGAAATTGATAGAAGAAGAAACAAAGAAGAATGGTAAAAACAAAGAATATCATTGGAAAAGGTGATAGAAAGAAGAAACACAGAAGAATGATAAAAACAAAGAATATCATTGGAGAAGGTGATAGAAAAAGAAACAAAGAATAACATAAGAGAAGGTGATAGAAAGAAGAAACACAGAAGAATGATAAAAACAAAGAATATCATTGGAGAAGGTGATAGAAGAACGAAACAAAGAAGAATGATGAAAGCAAAGAATATCATAAAAGAAATTGATAGATAAAGAAACAAAGAAGAATGATAAAAGCAAAGAATATCATAAGAGAAATTGATAGAAGAAGAAACAAAGAAGAATGATAAAAGCAAAGAATAACATAAGAGAAGGTGATAGAAGGAAGATACAAAGAAGAAGAATAAAAACAAAGAATATCATAAGAGAAGGTGATAGAAGGAAGAAACAAAGAAGAATGATAAAAACAAAGAATATCATTAGAAAAGGTGAAAGAAGGAAGAAACAAAGAAGAATAATAAAAACAAAGAATATCATTGGAGAAGGTGATAGAAGGAAGAAACAAAGAAGAATAATAAAAACAAAGAATATCATTGGAGAAGGTGAAAGAAGGAAGAAACAAAGAAGAATAATAAAAACAAAGAATATCATTGGAGAAGGTGATAGAAAGAAGAAACAAAGAAGAATAATAAAAACAAAGAATATCATTGGAGAAGGTGATAGAAGGAAGAAACAAAGAAGAATGATAAAAACAAAGAATATCATTAGAGAAGGTGATAAAAAGAAGAAACAAAGAAAAATGATAAAAACAAAGAATATCATGGGAGAAGGTGATAGAAGGAAGAAACAAAGAAGAATGATAAAAACAAAGAATATCATTGGAGAAGGTGATAGAAGGAAGAAACAAAGAAGAATGATAAAAACAAATAATATCATAAGAGAAGGTGATAGAAAGAAGAAACAAAGAAGAATGATGAAAGCAAAGAATATCATTGGAGAAGGTGATAGAAAGAAGAAACAAAGAAGAATGATGAAAGCAAAGAATATCATTGGAGAAGGTGATAGAAGGAAGAAACGAAGAAGAATGATAAAAACAAAGAATATCATTAGAAAAGGTGATAGAAGGAAGAAACAAAGAAGAATAATAAAAACAAAGAATATCATTGGAGAAGGTGATAGAAGGAAGAAACGAAGAAAAATGATAAAAACAAAGAATATCATTGGAGAAGGTGATAGAAGGAAGAAACAAAGAAAAATGATAAAAACAAAGAATATCATTGGAGAAGGTGATAGAAGGAAGAAACAAAGAAAAATGATAAAAACAAAGAATATCATTGGAGAAGGTGATAGAAGGAAGAAACAAAGAAGAATGATAAAAACAAAGAATATCATAAGAGAAGGTGATAGAAGGAAGATACAAAGAAGAATAATAAAAACAAAGAATATCATTGGAGAAGGTGATAGAAGGAAGAAACAAAGAAAAATGATAAAAACAAAGAATATCATTGGAGAAGGTGATAGAAAAAGAAACAAAGAATATCATTGGAGAAGGTGATAGAAGGAAGAAACAAAGAAAAATGATAAAAACAAAGAATATCATTGGAGAAGGTGATAGAAGGAAGAAACACAGAAGAATGATAAAAACAAAGAATATCATTGGAGAAGGTGATAGAAGGAAGAAACAAAGAAAAATGATAAAAACAAAGAATATCATTGGAGAAGGTGATAGAAGGAAGATACAAAGAAGAATAATAAAAACAAAGAATAACATACGAGAAGGTGATAGAAGGAAGAAACACAGAAGAATGATAAAAACAAAGAATATCATTGGAGAAGGTGATAGAAGGAAGAAACAAAGAAAAATGATAAAAACAAAGAATATCATTGGAGAAGGTGATAGAAGGAAGAAACAAAGAAAAATGATAAAAACAAAGAATATCATAAGAGAAGGTGATAGAAAAAGAAACAAAGAATAACATAAGAGAAGGTGATAGAAAGAAGAAACACAGAAGAATGATAAAAACAAAGAATAACATACGAGAAGGTGATAGAAGGAAGAAACACAGAAGAATGATAAAAACAAAGAATAACATACGAGAAGGTGATAGAAGAAGAAACACAGAAGAATGATAAAAACAAAGAATATCATAAGAGAAGGTGATAGAAGGAAGAAACACAGAAGAATGATAAAAGCAAAGAATATCATAAGAGAAATTGATAGAAGAAGAAACAAAGAAGAATGATAAAAGCAAAGAATATCATAAGAGAAGGTGATAGAAAGAAGAAACAAAGAAGAATGGTAAAAACAAAGAAAGAGAAAAGAGATCATGTGATAGAAGAAAGAAACAAAGAATAACAACAGGAAAGACAGAAAAAGATATTGATAGAATGATAAAAACAAAGAATAACATAAGAGAAGGTGATAGAAGAAAGAAACAAAGAAGAATGGTAAAAACAAAGAAAGAGAAAAGAGATCATGTGATAGAAGAAAGAAACAAAGAATAACAACAGGAAAGACAGAAAAAGAAATTGATAGAATGATAAAAACAAAGAATAACATAAGAGAAGGTGATAGAAGAAAGAAACAACCTGCCTGATTCTGGATTCTGATCTCTGGCTTTGTCTATAAACAGGTACAGCTGCAGATGCAACTCTGCCATCATCCCTGGGATGGAAAAGAATGAAAAAAATGTTACTCGTTGGTGTTCCTATCTCTCGGAAATCCAAGCCAGCAATTAATACATTTATTGAAGCTATATCTGCACTGGTTTGGCCATGAGGGACTAGACCTCTCTGCTTGGTCACTGGCAGGTGGTTATCTCATCAAATCAGCTCTCAATTAACATAACAAAAGGAGAACAATGGGGGACCAACGGGTACCGCTTAGACATTGTTGGCTAATAGAGGGCGCAAGTAGCTACAAGAAGTGCAGTCCCGCTTAAGACAATGACCATTATGAACCATTCAACGCAAAACGTAACATCCCCTCGCCGGGTACAAATGGCCTATATGTAGCAATTTTTTTTCATTTTAAATGGGCTGTGTTGAACTTTATTGAACAAAAAACACCGTTTTGCACATATAATTAGGTATTTTCGCATATCTAATGAGCTATGACCTTTGCCTATCATAATCCAAAATCAAACTTATGCTGTATTTTAATACCATGTACCTTTATTTAATTTCAAATTTCATGACAATCTGTCAAACATATTTCTAAAGTTATCGAACGGAAACCACATTTTCTGATACATAATGATATTTTTCGCATATTTAATGAAATGAAGAATGATAAAAGCATAGAATAACGTAAGAGAAGGTGATAGAAGAAGAAACAAAGAAGAATGATAAAAACAAAGAAAATCATTGGAGAAGGTGATAGAACGAAGAAACAAAGAAGAATAATAAAAACAAAGAATATCATAAGAGAAGGTGATAGAAGGAAGAAACAAAGAAGAATGGTAAAAACAAAGAATATCATTGGAGAAGGTGATAGAAGAACGAAACAAAAGAAAAATGATGAAAACAAAGAATAACATAAGAGAAGGTGATAGAAGAACGAAACAAAGAAGAATGATGAAAACAAAGAATAATAGAATGTTAAAACGAAAGAATATCATAAGGAAGGTGATAGAAAGAAGAAAGAAAAAAGAATGGTAAAAACAAAGAATGAGAAAAGAGATCATGTGATAGAAGAAAGAAACAAAGAATAACAACAGGAAAGACAGAAAAAGAAATTGATAGAATGATAAAAACAAAGAATATCATAAGAGAAGGTGATAGAAAGAAGAAACAAAGAAGAATGGTAAAAACAAAGAAAGAGAAAAGAGATCATGTGATAGAAGAAAGAAACAAAGAATAACAACAGGAAAGACAGAAAAAGAAATTGATAGAATGATAAAAACAAAGAATAACATAAGAAAAGGTGATAGAAAGAAGAAACAAAGAAGAATGGTAAAAACAAAGAAAGAGAAAAGAGATCATGTGATAGAAGAAAGAAACAAAGAATAACAACAGGAAAGACAGAAAAAGAAATTGATAGAATGATAAAAACAAAGAATAAAATAAGAGAAGGTGATAGAAGAAAGAAACAACCTGCCTGATTCTGGGTTCTGATCTCTGGCTTTGTCTATAAACAGGTACAGCTGCAGATGCAACTCTGCCATCATCCCTGGGATGGAAAAGAATGAAAAAAATGTTACTCGTTGGTGTTCCTATCTCTCGGAAATCCAAGCCAGCAATTAAAGCCTATCTGCACAAGTTTGGCCATGAGGGACAATACCTCCCTGCTTGGTCACTGGCAGGTGGTTATCTCATCAAATTAGCTCTCAATTAACATAAGAAAAAGAGGACCATGGGGGACCAAACGGTACCGCTTAGGCATTGTTGGCTATATAGAGGGCACAAGTAGTGAAGTCCGATTCATGACAATGACCATTATTAACAATTCAACGCAGAGCATATTAACATCCCCTCGCCAAATGGCCTATATTCAGCAATTTTTGCATTTTCAATGAGCTGTGTTGAACTTTGATGTACATACTCAACAACATTACTTAAGTAATTGAGCAAAAACCTCATTTTCGCACATATTAATAGGTATTTTCGCATATTTAATGAGCTATGACCTTTAAACTTTGACCTACATACTCCAAAATCGAAACTACGTTTTCGGATACATAATTATATATGTTTGCATATTCAATGAACTATGACCTTTGAAATTTGAACTACATACTCCGAAATCGAACTTAGGCTGTATTTTGATACCATGTACAGTCATATCAAATTTCAATAAAATCCGTCAAACATGATGCCTACTAAAGTTATCGAACGAAAACAATTTTTTTTTCGAATGACTAGCTTTTTTCCGCATATTTAATGAGCTATAACCTTGGACCTTTGACCAATATACTAGTACTCCGAAATCGAACTTGGGCTATATGTTGATACCATGTACCTTCATATTAAATTTCAATAAAATCCGTCAAACATGAGGCCTACTAAAGTTATCGAACGAAAACAATTTTTTTTCGAATGATTAGCTTTTTTCGCATATTTAATGAGCTATGACCTTGGACCTTTGACCAATATACTAGTACTCCGAAATTGAACTTGGGCTATGTGTTGATACCATGTACCTTCATATCAAATTTCATTAAAGGGATAGGGTAACTTTGCCTGAGATTCTAAACAAAACCTGGATTGAATTTAGCTCATGCTGCAATCATAATTATAATCCTTTAGGTCAGGAATTCTGTGACTTTTACAAGCCGATCGCCTGTCTGATTATCAAGATATTTATGATTGGAATTAGAAATGTCAAAAACACTTTGCCAAACGGTTTTGAACAGTTTTTTTATAACACTACAGTCAATCAGGGAAAAGGAGTATGGTAAAACTGGTAACTTAAAGATTTTTCCCCTTTTAAAGCAATTCATGATTTTTGTTGGGCTTCAATATTACACCATATCACAGACACTGATAACAGATTTGTAAACCTGGAAACATTGTTAACGATGCCTTTACAATCCGTCAAACGTTATTAAAGTTAACATTTAGTTTCTAAGCTTCTACCAACCGAACATATTGCCAAACTATCGAACGGAAACCAGATTTGTTACAGACGGAAGGGTGGAGGGATGAGCGGCAGCCAGGGGCGTAAATCCGTACCGAGGAGTGGGGGTGATCGGCGATAGCCATCGCATACTAGCACGAGCACACGCCCACACTAATTTACGCAAGCGCGCGCGATCGCGCACGCACGCACAAACACACAAACGAACAAACAACAAACACATGTACATAAATTTATACATGCATACATGCATGCACGAACATGCCAAATTTGACAACCATAAAGTAAAAGAATTGGACATATTTCGAAATACTGACAGCTGCAAATTAAACTGTAGTGTTTTATAATAATGAACTCCGAAAAAAGACGACACACTTTCAAGTAGTAACATAAAGATTGAGTATTTCGTCAGGAAGATGCGAACTCTTTATTTTGAGTCCCATCACTTAAAAAATGATGTATAATGGTCAGGGGCGTCGCTAGATTTTTTTGAGTGTGGGGGGGGGGGGGGGGGTGTAGAGGCCAACGATTACCGACAAAATTAAATGTCCCAATATTTACAAATTTAACCCTAAATACCCGGGGCCGAAGGCTAAATTGTTTTTCCTACGGACTATCTATAGTACTTGCGTATGCGCAAATGGTCATTTTCCTCGACGACATAAATATACGAATAATTTTGTACTTAGTCAGCATCATAGCTATATATTTTAATGCAGGCGCGGAGCTAGGATCTCATTTTAGGGAGAGGCGGTATAGTGAGCAGGCGAATCACTCAAAGAGCGCGCGACGCGCGCTCATTAGGGGGTGTGGGTGATAGGCAAAGGTGAAAGGGCTACCGCGCGAGGCGCGGAAGCTTAGACGTTTCCTTAAATTATTAGGAAAAGAAGACGATTTATTGTACCGCTCTCGACTGTTAACCCTTGTTTGAATGAATTCCCCCACCCCCTCCCGCGCAAAGCGCGAAAGCTTTGGCGTTTCATTAAATTATTAGGAAAAGAAGACGATTTACTTTACCGTTCTCGACTGTTAATCCATGTCTGAATTCAGTTCCCCCGGCCCCCGGCCCCCCCCCCCCCCTCCCGCGCGGAAGTTTTGGCATTTTATTAAATTATTAGAGAAAGTAGACAATTCGTTGAACCGTGCTCGACTCTAAATCCTTGTATGAATTCAGTTTCTTCCTCTTTAGCTTTGACATTTCATTAATTTATTAGAGAAATTAGACGATTTGTTAAACCGTGCTCGACTCTTAATCTTTGTCTGAATTCGGTTTACCCCTCCCGCGCAGAGCGCGGAAGTTTTGACGTTTCATTAAATTATTAGAGACAGCAGACGATTCGTTGTACCGTTTTCGACTCTTAATAAGCGCTATTTACCTGAATTCAGTTTCCCCCTTTCGCGCGAAGCGCGGAAGCCTTGACGTTTCCTTAAATTATTAGAGAAAGCAAACGATTGGGTGTACTGTTCTCGACTCTTAATTCTCGTCTGAATTCAGTTTCCCCTTCCCGCGCGTAAAGCTTAGACGTTTGATTTAATTATTATAGAAAGTAGATGATTCGTTGCACCGTTTTCGACTCTTAATAAGCCCTATTTATTTGAATTCAGTTTCCCCCTCTCGCGCGAAGCCCGAAAAGCTTAGACGTTTGATTTAATTATTATAGAAAGAAGACGATTCGTTGCACTGTTTTCAACTCTTAGTAAGCCCTATTTATCTGAATTCAGTTTCCCCCTCTCGCGCGAAGCGCGGAAGCTTTGACGTTTTCTTAAATTAATAGAGAAAGCAGACGATTCGATGCACCGTTTTCGTCTCTTAATAAGCGCTATTTATCTGAATTCAGTTTCCCCCTCTCGCGCGAAGCGCGGAAGCCTTGACGTTTCCTTAAATTATTAGAGGAAGCAGACGATTGGGTGTACTGTTCCCGTCTCTTAATCCTTGTCTGAATTCAGTTTCCCGCTTCCCGCGCGAAGCGCGAAAAGCCTAGACGTTTGATTTAATTATTATAGAAAGTAGACGATTCGTTGCACCGTTTTCGACTCTTATTAAGCCCTATTTATCCGAATTTAATTCAATTAATTCAATCTAAACAGCAAATGAATTCATTCATAGACCTACACAAACATCACATGCATTGCTGCCCTTAAATATCATCCCCTCGTCCCTTAAGTTTTTTTAAACAATCCCATTTTTTCTTCTTCTTCTTCTTCCTTTTTTTTTTCTCTTTTTTTGTTTGGTGTAATATCAGGAGGGGTGTTTGTACAGGCCACCCCCCTACTTCAAGCCAGGGGGGATGCAGTCCCCCCCCCCTCCCCCATCCCCGGGATTTACGCCCCTGGCAGCAGCGTTACTGTATCCCCTCCGACTTCGTTCAATTTTGTTTGTGACATTGTCATGGTTGATGCCACTTAAACAAAGAGAGTTTATCAGGTCTGGAATACAGAAAGAGATCTCTCCCGATTGGTATAGTGCTAGAGATAGTATCACTGTCTTCCAGTATTTTTGTCTTTAGGTTTGTGACTTAATTTTGTATGTGTACAGTGTGATATTGTTTGATTAATCAAGTATAACATACCTATCATCCACTGCTATCCTACCAAATAGTGTATCAATCATGGCATTCATGCCACCCTTGGTAGGTGAAGCGATGTCCTTTGCAACTGCATTTACGATCTTACCGAGAGCTAGCTCGTCCATTCCAATGTTCCTCTTAAAACTAACACTTTTTCCTTTCTTGCTCGATTGCGACGGCTGATTGTAGTCAGGATCTTCTTGTTTCAAAGCCTCTTGCAAGTCTTGACATAGAGTGTCGTGTGCAGCCAAAGCATCCCTGTCTACCGGTATCTTTGTCCTAGTGGTTATCAAGTCATCTACGGTGATCAAGTGAGTGATGTGCTCCTGAGCCGATTTCTTCATTTCGTCCAGTTCTTTCTTTACTGCTTCAGTCCGACCCTTGACTTCAACAATGAGGATTTCTTTCTTCTCTGTCAACTGACGGACTGATTCTTCATATGCTTTGTTGATATCATCTGTACACTGCTTCTGAACATTGCTCACACGCTCCTTCTGTTCATCAATGAAATCAACGTATTTCTGAAAGCAAGAGCGTTTCTTGTCCGTCTTGAATTTGAGGTCCTCGATACTCTTCATATGGTTGCTTTCATAAACAGCTGCCTCGATGACCTCATGTCCTTCCTTTGTGTGCTCCATGACAACACACCTGAAGCAGGCAAATCTCCTGCAGTCGGAACAGAAGCACTCCTCGTCCTCTTTGGGGTGTTTCCTGCATTTGCGATAGCTACGTACTGACGCCTTCCCTGATAGGATCTCACTCATGGCAAAGACCTCATGACCGATGAAGTTTTTCCACTGAGAGTGTTTGTTGTGGCAAGTGATACAGAAATACATGCCACAGTCTTGACAGTAGAAAACAGCTTGGGGTTTGTCCTCGGATTCACAATTCGTGCAAAACTGATATTGATTCTTCACGTCATCTATGAGAGACTTCAAAGCTAGATTAGCCGGTATTTTGCTGACATCTTGGTTTGGGACCTGGGTTTCAGCTCTGCAGACAGGGCATCGGAGCATCTGGTCGTTACCATGGCATTCCAAGAGGTTTTCCAGACAGGTCTTACAGTAGGTGTGAGAACAAGACAGGATCTTGGGGTCGGTGAAGGTATTCAGACATACAGGACACTCCAGACTCTGAGCAATGGCATTCTTTAATGCATCAGCCATGATTCGAATTCTACAAGAGTACGAGATAAAAGAAAAGGAATAAAAAGCATGATGATAATAATAATAATAATATTCAGTTCTCGTATAGCGCGTATCACATTATGTAACGTCCATAATTATGCGCTTCCAAAGAGCTTTTAAAATCATGACCTTAGCTTTAGCTCCGGCAGCCGTTATCAGCGCACTAGTGCATTTCAAATAATAATCCTACCTGGTATAAATATAGATTAATGTCTTGCCAAAGGACATTAGTGCCGCGGCGGGACTCGATCCGCGGGCCTTGCGATCCACAGTCCGATGACATATCCACTCAACCACGATACCTTCGATTCGATTCATCTGGGGGGGGGGGGGGGATGGTGTTTCACAAAGACTAAGATCGACATTAAGTAGGACTTAACTCTGGCAGGCCTTTCATGCCACTGGTTGATCTTTACATAATATTTAAAACTTCAATAATGACTATCAGAAAAGGTCAATTCTGTTGATTTGTGACCACGATTTGTACGTCCCTTGATAAACCAATGCCAGGAATGGTTAGAGGAACTAGTGGCATGGAAGGCATACCATATTTAAGTCCAACTTAAAGTCGATCTTAGTCTTTGTGCAACACCCCCCCCCCCTGATCGTATTAAAAGGGGGTGTTTATCATTTTACTCACGCCTTTCCCCAACAGAATATAACGCGCACAAAAATATTTTATTCCGTAATATCTTAATAAAAATAATTATTGTTATTTATCAATTAAATGTAGTGATGAATAATGAATTTTGGAAAAGACTGTTTCCTTGGTCGCTCTTCAGTTAATGAACAGTGTAATCATCATGATAATATTAACGCAAATAAACATCACAACAATAATAGCCTAATAATAATGATACTGATAGTAATATTAATAATTGATAATAATATATAATAATAATAATAATAATAATAATAATAATAATAATAATAATAATAACAATAATAATAATAATTATAATAATTATATCAATAACAACAATAATGATAATCATGCCTTGCCCCAGCTAGCCTTATCAGTTCCTCGGTTTTAGCCAACCTACCACGATAAGGCGCTCATAATCATTCACGGAATTTCTTCCTACCAGGTACTATTCACTATACACCTGGGTTGGGTGGAAAGTGACCAATGTAAACTGTCTTGCCAATGGACATTAGTGACGTAGTGGGACTCGAACCGCGAACCACGTGATTCACAATCCACTAGAAATATGATAGACCACAACACCTCTAGGCCTAAATGTATCGCAACTAGTCATGCTAGGATAAATGTTGTGACGTATACAAGTCATAATACATTCCAACACTTGAAGCTCATGGTTAAAGGTAAACCATAAGTCATAGAAAACAAAACAACAGCTTTAAACAAAAGTCTCAGAAATGTAGTTTACCATTCACATTTCAGCACTTTGGCATTGGAAAAAATAGAGTCTTTACAAAATCAAGTATCAGAAATTCGTGACCTTTGAACGAAAACAAATATGATCCGTGATCTACCTTCAGATATGAAGATAAACAATAAAGGTGAGTTCTGGTCATCTGATTGCATTGTGAAAGAAAAGATGTAGAATGGATCAGAAGAAGTTGATTATGTAGCATGTAAGTGTTTGTGTGTACTTCAAAGTTCTGGAGTCATGAAAATCATTATAAATTTGGCCCAGTCTTGGTAAAGTAACAAGCACTGTACACAGAAAGATGTATATGGAACTACACGAATGGTGTCGGGCCTACGTACCTTAATTTCCTAATTTTTCTATGCTTATTACTCAGCCAGTATATGATTCTGTACGAATTCATTTTCTTTTCTTTTTACCAGAGCTCACCTTTATCTTTATCATGGAGTTTAGGCTTTGACCAACTCTAAAACTTAGTAGGCAACATTTCGTACTAATACTTATATTAATGCTGATGAAGTATCAAAAGCAGTACTATATACATGTACTTATGCGCACTGAAATATACTAAATTTACAAAAATTATCATATTTATATAGGGATCAAAATTATATAGACTGCTCTGATTTGGCAGAATCACTAGCAATAATGTTATCTATGTTAAGAATCACATAATAACCTGCAATATTTACCATGTGCATTTATATATTCATAACATGTAAGAATAATAATGTATATATGAAAAAATGACATTGAAGTCACTGCAACATACCAAGAGGCAGGCGCGGATCCAGGATTTCTTAGGGGGGGGGGCCCAAATTTGAAATTATGCGGGCCAAATATTGGTACGTAATGGTGACCAACAGTGACGTAATGCGGGGGGGGGGGGTCGGTGCAGGGAGGGCGAGTTTCCCCCTCCCTCCTCCGCAAAACGCAGAAACTTTGACGTTTCATTAAATAATTAGAAAAAGAAGACGGTTCGTTGTACCGTTTTCGAAAATAATTCTCGTCTGAATTTCGTTTTTCCCCTCCCGCGCAAAGCGCGGAAAATTTTAGGATTTATTAAATTATTAGAGAAAGAAGCCGATTCGTTGTAGAGTTCTCGACTCTTAATCCTCGTCTGAATTCAGGTTTCCCCCCCCCCCCCTCCCGCGCAAAGCGCGGAAGTTTTTAAGTTTCCTTAAATCATTAGAGAAAAAAGACGATTCGTTGTACCGTTTTCGAAAATAATCCTCGTCTGAATTAAGATTCTCCCCCTCCCTCGCGAAGCGCGGAAGCTTTGGCGTTTCATTAAACTATTAAAGAAAGAAGGCTGTTCTCGACTCTTAATCCTCGTGTGAATTCAGTTCCCCCCCCCCCATTCCCGCGCGAAGCGTGGAAGCTTTTACGTTACATTAAATCATTAGAGAAAGAAGACGATTCGTTGTACAGTTCTCGACTCTTAATCCTCGTCTGAATTCAGGTCCCCCCCCCCCCTCCCGCGCGAAGCGCGGAAGCTTTTAAGTTTTATAAGATTATGAGAGAAAGAAGACGATTGGCTGTAGAGTTCTCGACTCTTAATCCTCGTCTGAATTCAGTCCCCCCCCTCCCCCTCCTACGCGAAGCGCGGAAGCTTTGACGTTTCCTTAAGTCATTAGAGAAAAAAGACGATTCGTTGTATCGTTTTCAAAAAAATCCTCGTCTGAATTTAGATCTCCCCCCTCCCGCGCGAAGCGCGGAAAAATTTAGGATTTATTAAATTATTAGAGAAAGAAGACGATTCGTTGTAGAGTTCTTGACTCATAATCCTCGTCTGAATTCAGTCCCCCCTCCCCCTCCTACGCGAAGCGCGGAAGCTTTGACGTTTCATTAAACTATTAAAGAAAGAAGACGATTCTTTTTACAGTTCTCGACTCCTAATCCTCGTCTGAATTCAGGTTCCCCCTCCCCCTCCCCCTCCCCCTCCCGCGCAAAGCGCGGAAGCTTTTACGTTTCATTAAATCATTAGAGAAAGAAGACGATTCGTTGTACAGTTCGCGACTCTTAATCCTCGCCTGAATTCAGTCCCCCCCCTCCCCCTCCTACGCGAAGCGCGGAAGCTTTGACGTTTCATTAAACTATTAAAGAATTAAAGAAGACGATTCTTTGTACAGTTCTCGACTCCTAATCCTCGTCTGAATTCAGGTTCCCCCTCCCCTCCCACTCCCGCGCAAAGCGCGGAAGCTTTTACGTCTCATTAAATCATTAGAGAAAGAAGACGATTCTTTGTACAGTTCGCGACTCTTAATCCTCGTCTGAATTCTGCCCCCCCCCCCTTCCGCGCGAAGCGCGGAAGCTTTTAAGTTTCCTTAAGTCATTAGAGAAAAAAGACGATTCGTTGTACCGTTTTCGAAAATCATCCTCGTCTGAATTTAGATTCTTCCCCCTCCCGCGCGAAGAGCGGAAAAATTTAGGATTTATTAAATTATTAGAGAAAGAAGACGATTCGTTGTAGAGTTCTTGACTCTTAATCCTCGTCTGAATTCAGTCCCCCCCCCCCCTCCCCCTCCTACGCGAAGCGCGGAAGCTTTGACGTTTCATTAAACTATTAAAGAAAGAAGACGATTCTTTGTACAGTTCTCGACTCCTAATCCTCGTCTGAATTCAGGTTCCCCCTCCCCTCCCACTCCCGCGCAAAGCGCGGAAGCTTTTACGTCTCATTAAATCATTAGAGAAAGAAGACGATTCGTTGTACAGTTCTTGACTCTTAATCCTCGTCTGAATTCTGCCCCCCCCCCCCTTCCGCGCGAAGCGCGGAAGCTTTTAAGTTTCCTTAAGTCATTAGAGAAAAAAGACGATTCGTTGTACAGTTCTCGACTCTTAATCCTCGTCTGAATTTAGATTCTCCCCCTCCCGCGCGAAGCGCGGAAGCTTTTACGTTTCATTAAATTATTAAAGATTCGTATTACCGTTCTCGCCTCTGAATCCTTGTCTGAATTCAGGTTTCCCCCTCCCGCGCGAAGCGCGGAAGCTTGACGTTTCATAAGATTATGAGAGAAAGAAGACGATTCGCTGTACCGTTCTCGATTGTTAATTCTTGTCTGGGGCGGCGGCGAAGCCGGCCCCGGAAGCTCAGAGGTTTTAGGCGTTTAATTAAGGTCAGATGAGCAGTTTTGTTGTTATACCTTATTATTTTGTGACACTGGCAGGCTATATTTGGCGTTAGGTCCAGGGGGCGGAGCCCCCCAAAATCAGGGGTTTTAGGCATTAAATTACCGTCAGATGAGCATCTAAGGGCCCGCCGTAGGGCTCTAGGTGGAATCCAGGGGCAGAGCCCCCGGAAGCTTAGGGGTTTTAGGCATTTAATCACGGTCAGATGAGCATATTTTGATGCCTCATTATTTGTCAACAATGGCAGTTAACTATTCTTTCTTTCTTGCTCTCATTCTATTTTATTTCTCTTTAATATACTTTTCATAAAAAGTAGGGGGGGGAGGAAGCTCGAGGCTCCCGATCCCCGCCGTATCTCGGGTCCTGACATGTAGGAATTGCCTGGCTGCAATTTTAGGAATTTGTCATTTTCCAACAAACACATACAATAAACGTATAATTTACTAAAAAGTGAGGAAAAATCTCGGAAATGATGTCATTTCATCATTATTTGTAATCCACCGTTGTGGAATTAGAAATAAACCACGTTTGAATTTGATTTTCCCCAAGCCCCCCCCCCCCCTATCAGTACGCCAGTATCTCCTCTTTTCCTTTTTTCTTTCCCTTTCCTTCCTTCTCTCTTATTTTTTTGATGGGGGAGGGGAGGGGGGGGGGGGGTCAACAGCCTGGGAGGCAAGGCCCTTTCGGTCCCCTGATCTCCTTCTTCCCCCTTTTCTTTTCTTCTTCCTCTTCTTTCTCTCCCTTTCTCTCCTCTTTCCCTTTCCCTTCTTTCCTTTCTTCTCTCTTTTTTTTTTTTTTTTTTTTGCGGGGGGGGGGGGGGGGGGGGGGCCAAGGCCCGCTCGGCCCCCCCCCCTGGATCCGCGCCTGCCAAGAGGGCAAACGAACAGTAAAAAAAAATGATACTTGGTTTAATTCTTGGCCTGAGCTCAATCGCTCTCCATGTATCACCTTAAAGACATCTAAACCCAGTCTTAAATATTTCAGTCTATTAGGAAAATTATGACTATATAAAGCAGAACTGATCAAAAGAAAGCCATTGGGATTCAACCTTATACATTTATATACAATTAACAATGTAAAACGAAAATGTAGAAAAAAATGTCTCTGCATTATTTTCTTTTGAAATGAAACATACATTTTAACTCACTATTAAAATGACACCTATTTTTCCGCCATTATACATATCAGTCTTGGTGTTTTATCAGTATACATGTATACTCTTTGCTTTTTACAATGTAGTGATGCACTGATAACAAGTGGTACTATAATGCAGTCATGTATGTATTTAGTTTTTCAGGCAATTCTTTGGTACTGGTAATTCTCACCAACTTTTGACAGACAGCTACGTGTACATAGAGATCGCCTAATATAAAACCTCGATCTCAGTTTGCCAAGCGCCTTAGGACCAAATGTATGCCGTAGCTTCCCCCCCCCCCTTGCCCCCTCCCTCCACACACTGTTTTTTCTTCAATATTTCTTTTTTGTATTGATTCCAAACAATACAAATCAATCTTAGAAAAAAAGAGTTGTTTTTCCTTTACATGAATTTAAAACATTGTCATTACATATATTGTACAATTGATGAAAACACCTATGTTAATCACGCAAGCTGAAAGGTTTACCATGCGCATTCATATTTACATAACATTAAACATGTAAGAATATAATTAATTACAAATTGTTTATTTAAGTTATAATAACATACCAAAATCGTCACATTTTCCCCCAGGACAAACGAACATTATTATGATTATGAACGATATCAATAATAATTAATATATGATCACAAGTTTTCTAACTGGACAAACGTTAGTCCCGAGGTCACGATCAAGTACATTACAGTCTTATCGTCTGGTTTCAAAGATCTGTTTTTGCAGCCTGTTTGTTCATGGTTTACAAAACTGATATCATTTCCTAAACACCCGTCTTTCCCATCTTGGTCTTAGCTCAATATAGCTCTCCATTAATCACCTCCAAGAAATCTAGACCACTGAATTCTATACACCATGTAGCGAAGTGTTCAGAGATCGACCCAGTCTAACTATTTCATGCTAAGGAAAACGATGATTTTATAAACCAGATACAAACAAATCCTCAAAAGTATCTGGGAATCTGCCTATTAGTACAGTATTGGACAATTTCACCATATTTCTTTTGGAAATGAAAAAGACATTTTATTTCACTCACCTCTCTTTCCACCACTACGTATATATTTAGGTGATATATGAAATCAGTAAACATGTATACTATTTGCTTTTAAAATGTAGTGCTGCACTTATCGTAGGTATATACTGTAAAGTCTGTACACGTACATGTATAAATTGAGTGTGGTAGTCTATTTTTAGGTACTGGAAATTCCCACCGACCTTTGAAAACAAGCAGATTGAGGTTTATAGTCCTATAAGTGATCGCCCAATACATATTAGATCTCATTTTGTCACGGCTTCTGTAGAGCAAATATAATATGCCCGTGTAAAACTTGAAATATATTTCTGTTACTCCCCCCCCCCTCCCCCAACCAATACAAAAACCTCTAAAGTTAGATTCAAATTACTGTTGCCAAAGTCTCGTGAACGGATCCTCCTTCCAGATTACAATTGCAAATGTTTATCAGGTGCAATTATATGAACATAAAATGTAAGAATAATAATTAATGACATATTGTTATTCAAATCACAATAACATACCCAAATTTCTCCCCACGACAAACAAACACTGAGAAGTTGTACGTATGAACGATATCAATGGGATCATATTCCTTCTATATATACTTCCGGGTTCACGATCAAAGACACGAAACTCTTATGGTCTCGTTTCAAAGCTCTGTTTTGTTTAGACCTGTTTTTGCAGCATTTTATTTCATGGTTTACCAAATAGATGTCATTTCATAAACACCCGTTATTATCATCTTGATCTGAGCTAAATTGCCTCCCAAACCCAACTATTTCAGTTTAAGGAAAATGGTTTTATAACCAAGATACCAACAATTAAGCCTCAAAAGCGTCTGGGAGTCAGCCTAATATAATTATATATACGACTATGTCAAACGAATATATTGCAAAATCACAGACTAGGGTATGTGCAGGGAATTGGAGACCCTTAAGCACATTAACATAATTTACATAAACATGAAAAATGTTACACATACATAAAGTTTTGTATTCTCTTCAGTAACTTCTTCTCTTTCTACAGTTACAAATCAAGACATTTTAAATACAATTTGAATGAAAATGGGATTGTTATGGTTAGTACAAACACTTTTTGAAAGAGATATATGCAGCCAATGAACTTACTGTAATTTAAAACAATGTGGCCCAAAATATTTCTGTACATGGACAATTAACCAACCAGCATCGGATCATTTATTGTCCTCGGCATACTCGACATTCACAACAAACGACCCCTATCTCTCTCTCTCTCTCTCTCTCTCTCTCTCTCCCTCTTTCTCTCTCTTCTAACTCCTTTCCTTCTTTTTTTTCTTTTAACCTTCCCTTTTCTCTCTTCTAGCATGTACTTGTATGATGAGTATTGTTGTCTCGCCGAAATCTGACTCTCTTAATTTTCATTAATGTATTACATGTAATTAGGAATAATATGTTTATTTAATTATGATCATTCCATTCCCTGCTCTCTCTTTCTCTCTCTCTCTCTCTCTCTCTCTCTCTCTATCTCTCTCTCTTTCTCTCTCTCTTCCTTTCTCTCTGTGTACCTCCCCCTTTCTCCCATCCTCTCTCTCTATCTCTACTCCATTCGATTTATCACTCTCACTTTCATGAGCCATATACCTTCCCCTGCTTTTGTAAATCTTCTGCTAGTACATCCTTTCACGTAATGTACATAAACGAACGCAATATAATTTTGCTGTATTGTCATTATGTTACAGATTTATTTACTATGTTTCGTAATACTATTGTACATGTATAAAATTTACATCACTGTACCTTTGTAAATTGACCCTTTCAGCCTTGTGGTCGATCATTATATACCAATAAATGAATAATAATAATGATAATAAATATTAGACCTGGTGTCCCCATTGCCTGCACACATTTCTGATCAGACACCATTCATAATGTGCTGTGCAACACCCATTCACAACATACAATGGCCATAAGTTTTCTGTGATGGTTAATTGGCACACTTCATGAACTTCATTTTAAAAATACTTTTTAAGAGCCACCCATAAATATCTGTATACACCACAACATTCAGTGAAAATTGTGTTTTTATATCAGAGCAAAATTTTACGATCAAAATTGGTTACCTTGGTCAATTTTGCCAAATTTTTTCGGAGGAAGAGCACATTGTAGTCTTCGGAATGAATTGGATATATGCAGTAGTATTGTTAAAGGCCACAAATGGCGCTATAGCAATATTGGAGCCAACACGGACAGACAGTGATGGGTTCAACCTTGGTGGTCTCCAATTCCCTGCGGTCTCCGATTCCATGCACCTACCCTATTTCTTTTGGAAATGACAGACAACTTACCTCTTTTTCCGTCACTACGTATCGGTCTTGGTGCTACATAAAATCAGTAGGGACATATAGACTAATAGTAATAGGTGTCTGAACGATTTTTAAATTTTCAATTTGGGATCATTCTCACAATTTTTGTTGAATAATTGAATAAATAAATGTAATCAGAATAATACATTTCAAATTTCAAGACTCACCGATGTTTCTATCAAAAGATACAGCCCCTCAAAAACTCTCCAATATTCACGCCGAGTTATAATTTTTGCTCAAAAGCTGCACAGCACGATATCAAAGCGTGGAGTAAAAGCATTTTCAAACTGAAACTGCTCGTGATCCCTTGGGACTATAGAGAAAAAATAAGCGCATGGATTATGGATACATTCCTTACAGCTGGCCCAACTTATTCCTCGGCTTCGTGAAATTGGTAAATCTCCGAGTTACCATGGAAACAATGTTTAAATCGCTGTTTTGAGCACGATATTTTTAGAATTTTGGGGCTGAGCTCCTTTGGGGAATATGGGGAAAATCCTGCCCTTTCATATGACCAGGGACGTAGCCAGAGTTTAATGTTTGGGGGGGGGGGGCACATACGTGTAATCGATCGACGTCCTCAGTGGGGAGGGGTCTAAAAAAGTTCAACCGATCTTGAAAATGTAGGGGGCACGTGCCCCCCCCCCCCCCCCCCCCCCCCGTGGCTACGTGCCTGCATATGACACCTCACTTATTGATCATCACCTTCAGGATCACGAGCAATATTGGTTTGAATCTCATTTTGGTAATAAAAAATCGACCAATTTAGCATGAGAGCGCAATGCACATGGACTGCATAGGGATGTGTGCAATCTCTATATGGGAAGGATTTTAGCACACAAAACTGAGTGCGCGATCAGACACCCTAATACTCTTTGCATATATAATTTAGTGGTGCACTGATCATAATTAGTACTAGACTATATACACAGGGGCGTAGACAACGGGGGGGGGGGGGGATGAGGGGGATGCATCCCCCCCCCCCCCCCCCCACCTCAAAAGGTGGGGGGATGGCATGTACAATCATCCCCCCAGGTTTTGGGGAATGATATTTGCTTACTTAATAAGTCATAATGATGATAATAATAGTAATAATAATAATGATAACAATTATAATATTAATAATAATAATAATTATGATGATGATAATAATAATCCTCATCATTATTGTAATTGTGTTTATTATTGTTATTAGCCGCATTCACACGGTGAAAGCCAATTCAGACGGTAAAAAAAAGAAAATCTTACAAGTATTTTGTGGTTATCTTGTGGTTTGGAAACCACAAGATAACCACAAGATTAAACAGGCGCGGATCTACGGGGGGGGGGGTTTGGGGGGTTTAACCCCCCCCCCCCTTGGGCGGCCCAAAAAACAAACAAAAAAAAAAGGGGGAAAAAAGAAGAAAAAAAAAAGAAAAAAAGAAAAGAACGCACGCTGGAGAGAAACCCTTTCAAGTGCAAATATTGTGAGAAGATATTCAACTCATCTGGTAACTTAACCAAACACATGATAACTCTGGATATAACTGTGTATTTAACTGTTACTTGATTTAAAAAGACGTTATCATGCACTGCTTTTTATGGTCTCCATTGTGCCAGGAAAACATCACTTACGGGGTTCAAATAAACACCCAAAAAAAAAATCGGCTCGCCGCTTCGCGGGTCGTGGACGATGCTCCGCATCGTCATTATTGGTCAACCCCCCCTTAGCAAAAAGCTAGATCCGCCCCTGAGTCATCCCCCCCAAGTGTGCGAACCTGTCTACGCCACTGTATATACATGTACATTTATGTATTTAGTTTGTCGATCTCTTTTTAGGTATACTACTGGGAATATGCAAAGTATAGATAGTCAATGCTAATTTTTGTATTTTACTGCTATTTAGGTGTCTTCAATTGTCACTAAAGTACCGATTTTCAGTGAAATCAGTTGAGTTTTGTACAGTGATGTTTGAAATGTTGAGAATCAATAGAACAGGTTTTAGTACACAGCCAGGATAGTGATGCAGCTATGTGCGGGAATTCCCACGTTAACCTTTGACAGATAAGCAGATTGAGGTTTTAATCGTCCTAAAAGTGATCGCCCGATAAAAACTCGACCTCATTTTGTCTAGCGTCTGTAGAGCAATATGATTGTATGCCCGTGTCAAACTTGAATTATATTTCTGTTGCTCCCCCCCCCCCCCCCCCATTACAAAAACATTCTCAAGATAGAGCCAAATAACGGTCCTCTTTCGAGATAACAGTTGAATTGTTGGAGATGGCGCTAAACATCTATTAACCATTATTATAGTTTCGGATACGTTAACATCATTTGACTAGCCTCAGTAGCCTAGTATGTTGTTACCAGGTAAACAAAATATTATTGGACTGAGCATTGTACCAACAATAAATTTTCGGACTCCCTGAATGGAGTGAGTATAATTATGTTAAGGTTTAGCGATGCTGATCGTCGCAGTGGCGAAGTGCCGTGGTCACGGGGCGGACAATTGGGCTCAAAATTGCACCCTGGAATCGAAATAAAAAGCGAGAGAGGGGAGTGTCCCGGGGGTAGTCGTCCTAGAGAGTGGTTGCCCTAGGGAGTAGGCTAGTTGTCCAAAACGTCGAGAACGGTACAACGATTCGTCTTCTTTCTCTAATAATTTAATGAAACGTAAAAACTTCCGCGCTTCGCATGGAAGGGGAACCCCCCCCCCCCCTTAGGGAGCGCGCTTCGCGTGCTCACTACCGCACCCCCTAAAATAAAATCCTGGCTACGCGCTTGGGTAACATAAACTTCTCTGGAAATATGTCATTTGATGAGATGTGTCGAATAGATTAGTGCCTTTTGAATGAAATTCTAGAGTTATCAGCACCCCACTCTAACATGCAGGCCCCGCTGAACGTTTCGCAAAGTGGGGTCTAGGGGCAAAGCCCCAGCGGGGGCCAAGAGACCGAGCCCCCGAAGCTCAAGGGGTATGGGCATCAGTGGCGGATCCAGGAATTTATTACCGGGGGGGGCACAAAATCGCATGGGGTTAAATATATGTAAAACGACGAAGCGATAGAACGAGGCTTTAGCGGTGAGGGAGCGGAGCGACCAAGCGGGGGTGGGTCTGGGAGGGGGTTTTGGCCCGGCCCTCCCAGAGTAAGAAGCATTTACAATTTTAGAACCCAATTAGACGCATTTTCAGGCACTTCCTGGCGTAATATGACATAAAATTGCTTTTTCCTACCCCTTCCAAGAGTAGGGATCTTTTGCAATTTGAGAACCACATTTGGCGCATTAATCAGGGGCGTCGCAAGATCTTTGTCAGTGGGGGAGTGGGGAGGGTGTAGAGGTCACCGATTACCGACAAAACGAGCAACCAATTACCGACAAAATATATTAATAACAATGTCCAAATGTCTACAAATTTGACCCTATAAACCCGGGGCCAGGAACTAAGTTATTTTTCAGTCTTCCCCCCTTCCACGCGAAGCGCGGACACTTTGACACTTCATTAAATTATTGGAGAGAGAAGACGATCCGAAAGACGAAAGAAGGCGAAGCGTGGAAGCTTTGACGATTAATTATATTATTACTCTTAATCCTATGAATTCATTTTCGCCGATCTCGCGCGAAGCGCGGAAGCTTTGACGTTTCAATAAATCATTACTCTTAATCCTTGTATGAATTCATTTTCGCCCATCCCGCGCGAAGCGCGGAAGCTTTCACGTCTCATTAAATCATCAGAGAAAGATTCCTTGTATCGTGTTCTTGTCTGAATTCAGTTCCCCCTCCCCCCTCCCGCGCGTAGCGTACGTGGAAGTTTTGACACTTCATTCAATTATTAAAGAAGGAAGACGATTCGTTGTACCGTTCTCGACTCTTAATACTAGTCTGAATTCAGTTGCCCCCTCCCCCCCCCCCCCTCTCTCTCTCTCTCCCCGAAGCGCGGAAGCTTTGCCGTTTCATTTAATTATTAGAGAAAGAAGACGATACGTTGTACCGTTCACTACACTCTTAATCTTTTCTGAATGCAATTTCCCTACTGGGCCCCTTAACGGTACATGTGCAGTGTTACACGATGTAAGTATGGAACGCCCGGCAGTGCTTTTCACAGTTGCTTCTGGAAAGGATTTTTGACTAGTGTTACTGTTAGTGACCACGGCCCCTTAGTGACTGACTTTACAAAAACACATGCTCTTTCTGGCCATTTGGGAATGTGTAAGTTTGCAACAGAAATGAAGAAACGCGCATTTTGTTGAAAATCATGTGATATCACAAACTTGTATACATCACTTGTATATAGAATTGAAAATAAGTCATGGTTCAATTTTATTTGGAGGGCTGGCGCCCCCAAGCCCCCCCCCCCCCCCCCACCAGTACACCAGTGACACTGGACATACTATAAAATGACCCCCAAGAATGTTGTCGTTGTAATTATTATGCCCAAAGCAATTTCACACCCCATACAGACAGAGATAGAAAAATGAAAAATCCACCGGCGGTCATACGATTGCCTCAGATGCCCTCATGAATGGCCCTATATGGCCCGATGTGTTTACGATCAGAGCCGAATTTGGAAGTTTCCGTCATCGTGTGTCCATCTTATCTCAACTTCGGGACAGTGTGACGCGGGCATAATTAATCCGTAAACACATCGTTCACAACAATTGTTACGAGTCATTTACGGATTCTTGCGAGCAGTTTAAGGATGGTTACGTGTTGTTGCGAGCGCTTTACGATACTTACGGATTGTTACGAGCTATTTACGAGCTATTTACAGAAAAATCAATCAGCGGACAATCGTAAGAAGATTTTTGACATGTCAACAAATTTGCCTCTCCTTTCACGGATCCTAAAGATTGTGTACGAGTTGTTGCGAGCTGTGATGAGTGTATGTGAAGGGGGTATAAGGCAAGAATTAAGCCAAGAATGCGACGGTGCTGTTCTGCATGGTACCGTTTGATCCTGGCTTGAACATTTTTGTACTTTCTGCTTGTACGGAGGAGATGCATGGGATGAGTTGTATCATTGACTCGGAACAATTCGGAGTACCTTAATTTGCGACTGCATGCGCACAACAAAAAGGAAACAGGCGGTCTGTGTATGCACAAAGAATAGTTTCGTCAGATAATGTGACTGTGCCCCCTCTCCATTTAATCCTCCCGTATACTGCAAAGAGTTCATATCCTGTTTTGCAAATACATGTAAGAAATCTATTTGTGCGATGTAAAACGTTGTATCAATAACTACAGTTTTCTTTCAAGTCAATTAAATCCACCATTGCTATTTAAGAATAAAAAAACATACGCTTGTACATGGAATAACACATTGATTGATTTTTATTCGCCAAGCTTCCAACGTACAACACCATACAATAATAAAAGATCAAAATTAAGTCAGCTTGAACAGGATAACCCAAGAAAGCTCGAGAGCTTAATATTTCCAGTGGGGTCCCCTACAGACATGTACAAAATTAAAGTTGAAATAGTAATATTTACAGACAGATAAGAAGAAGAAAATATCAAAGATAATAATAATAACAACATTAAACTGATGATTGAAATGATAATAAGTACAAGAAGAAAAAGAAGAAAGGGAAGAAGAAAAAGAGGAGGAGGAGGAGGAGGAGGAAGAAGAGGAAAATAATGATGAATTTGTAGAATTTCTATAACGTACAAATACATATATATATATATATATATATATATATATATATATATATACAAAATGGAAAAGTATGAACCGGCAGAAGAATACAAATTTCAATCATATAACATGTCATTCGCTTCTCTTATCTGACTCTCAAGTATTAGGTATTCCTTTAATTTCCTCTTTAAAAGGGCATAGTTTTATATTTCCTTTATACCACTGGCCGGAAGGGATTTGCAATGTTTTATGGCATTGTAATAAAACGAATTTTCAATACTACCTACTCTTTCTGGTAAGTTAAAGCTGAATGGGCTATTTCCTGTATTATAATCATGTAAGTCAGTAACAAGATCGAAGTTGGATCGAATATAATGATTCGACCTAGTATGATATATTTTATGCACGTGATGCAATACGAGTTGTTTCGATCTTTGGTTGACTTCAAGAAAACCAGCTTTAGAAAGTTCGCTGTAGCCAACATGAGTCCTTGGACCAGAACAGTTGATGAATCTCACCGTTTTGTTCTGTATAATCTTCAACTTCTTTTGATCTGACTTGTTTATGTTATTATACCATGCAGGGTTGGCATAGTCAATTAAACATTAAATAAGAGCAAAACAGAGTACACGTCTTGCTTTTAAATCCATACAACTTTGATATCTGTACAAAATTTCAGACGAGAATTTGCTTTTTTTACAACTGATTCTACTAAAGATGAAAATGAAATTGTGCTAGCCAACTCAATGCCTAAATACTTCACAGATTATTTCCTCTTGACTGCTTGATTATTGTGTGTCACTTTGAATTCAAATGACTTTTTAAAACTACTTTTAGAACAAAACAAAACTGTTTTCCCAAGTGTAAATAAAGCTTATTATCAGTCATCCAATCGACACACGTAGACAGCTGTTCACTGAGCTTTTCCTCAATATAGGATCAGGATTTAAATAGAGTAGTACACTGTCATCTGCGTACAATAATAGTTTTAAGTCTTTTATACAAATACACATATCATTTATGTAACTTGAAAATAGAATTGGGCCTAAAATACTTCCCTGAGGAACAACGCATGTTATAGGCATTAGTTTGGAACGAATATCACGAATGGCCTCTACTTGGTGTCGATTAGATAAGTAGGCTCTGAACCACTCTAAACTTGCCTTATTAAAACCCATTAGTTGTAACTTCTTGTAACGAAGTAACGCCATGACTAATTGTATCAAAAGCTTTTTGCAGAGCACCATACAAACAAAGCGCCCTTGAGAATTGTCTGTCCTCAAATAATCAGTCAAATGAATTAGACATGTTTCATTCGAATAATTATGTCGAAAACCAGATTGAAATTCATAAATTATATCATTTTCTTTGAAGTATCTTTCAAGTTGAACACAGACCGATTTTTGTAAAATAAAAAATAATAGAATACATGTAAATGCATTGCCATTGGTACACAAATGTCAAAATTGCTTGGAAGGTAGCAGCCAGAAAGAAAGGGAACTTTATAAGCGGCCGACTTAAAGAAGATATAATTAACAGTTAAAGTTTGTACCAGATTATAATGCAGGGACCAAACACAACATTACTACCACAAAGAAATACACATCACAGTGCATGATAAAGTACAATAGATCAATGAAAAAACAAAAAGTTCAAATTAGATTAATATTTTGCAAGAATAACTATAAGTTGTTTTTGTTTTAATTACTTTTTATGTTTGCTTAGTTAATTAGTTTGAAATCGTGGTTTATCATTATGTCGGTTGAAGCCGAGTTGGCAAACCCTCTGAAACATCTTTCTTTAAAACATCTTTCTTCTGTTGCTGTTGATAAAATGGTAAAGCGTGACGGAAAAGCGAAGTTATTACCCTCGCCTCACAGACTCCTCCTCCTCATTACACAGCTAGACGAAACGAAACACGTGTCAAGCCAGCGTTTTACGTCCGAAAATGTCAAAACATATCTTCATTTTTTGTGAATACAGTTTTGATGATAATATAGTGTATTTGTTTCATACACTGTGGAAAAATAGTAATGTAAAATCACAGCTGTTCAGATTTTTCTCAAAACTTTTTAAAGACCATTTACTCTAAATGGAAACACAGACAAAATTTAATATCTCCAAAAAGTGAATAAATGAATCGGATATTTCCGTCAAATCCCATGTCATTTCTCCCATGAACTTTGCCAGACGGAAAGTAAACATCGAAAATAAAATACAAGATATCACAGTCAATCATATTCAAACATAAATCCTTATTTTGATATTTGGTTTTCATTACTTTTATAGCGTATATCATACAATCAATAGATCGCCTTTCAAGTGTCTCGAAATCTTTTTACGCAACTCGAGAAATTGTAAGACATGGAAGTTTTTTTTGACAAAGTGGCATTTCCTCTCATGATTCTGGGTAAAAAATAACATCTAGGTTGACAGTGATCTGAAACGCATCATATTAAATGAAGAAAAAAACAACTATTTGTATTAAACGGCAGTACATATAGAGTCCATCACCAAAATTATTATCTCCGCCTGGAAAATAGTCCACAATTGAATTGTGTCTACATCATTATTTACACATTTATAACAGCTACCAAAAAAAGTCACATGAAGATTCATCATCAACAACAAAATCTTGAAAAATACGTACGTCAGAAGTATATTAAAAGAAAGGTTACTTTCTTTTTATTTTAGAAAGGTTCAATCATTCAAAATTGATCTACATGGTCTAGGAATGTCATTTCTAAAATATTCACCAAAACTCTATTTCATCTAGTTCAAAATATAACTGATTCCACTGGATTTTATGTATAATGACTTTATGAAGTCACAGAAAAACAGGCCTCTTTATAGAAGATACATGTCATTCTAATTTTAGATTGGTTTTGGCGAGACGGGGTGACCCCAATATAGTTGCTATGTTATCGATCTGTTTTTGCAGATATTTGACAAATTTAACAAGAAAGAACAAGTGAAACTAGTATAATCACTCACACGCACTCACCAACTTACAAAACGGACCCATATTCTCGTTCTCTCTAACACACACACATGCTCATTAAAGCTCTCACATATCCACTCTTTTTTTTTTGAACAAAATTAAAAGGGAGAGTGATGGGTCCATCTTTTTTTCAACGAAATATTATGTTACTCTTAATTTTTCAACGTGCCTGTTTTGACCAGGAAAAAAAGAGGTCTATAGGCGCACACATCGCACCGCCCCCTCTTCCTACGGGCCTGAATACAGTGGTATCATGCAGTGCAAGAAATGGGGAGTCATCCATTATTTTCAGTGGAATATCGGCTATTGGGATATAAATAGAGTCTATCGGGAGTGCAGAAAGCGATCTCTCCTGATCGGTACTGCTGGAGATAGTACCACTCTCTCTTAGGCTTCCCAATCTTGTAATCCAAGACAAGGTTCTGGACATGCTTCAGCTCGTTAGTGTACTCATCAATGCTGACTAAACCTACATCGTGCTTCACAGTGGCTATCAGGATTGTGTTCCATTGAGAAACAGCAGCATATGGGCTCACACCTAATGTCTTTAGATTATATTTTACAGCACTTTGTTTGTCAATCAATCTTATTGTATCCCAGGATGCGGTGATAAGGTAATTATTATAGCTAGTAATCTGCTTAGGTATATACCCAAAACATGGTATCTCCCTGATCACCTTCCCACCTGCTGGTGAGAATACCTGGATCTTCTGGGCTTTCTGGTAGCTAACATAGATCTGATCTTCACTATCTACAGTGATGTTAGCCATTCCACCGTCAATGTCACTCAGAGTCTTAAACATTACATTCAACTTTGTGTAGTCTAGTCTGTACAGTGAGATATTGTTTGAGCCATCAAGTGTAACGTACCGATTATCAGAGAGAAATCCTACTCCACGAATCTTAACATTCTTGAAAACTGTCTGCTGGAGCTGGCCATCAGCAGAGAAGATTTCTACGCCACCTGTGTGACATCCCACTGCCATCCTACCACCTGGTGTAACAACCGCGGCTTTCATGCTATCCTTAGCAGGCAAAGCGATGTTCTTTGCAACTGTATTTACGATCTTACCGAGAACTAGCTCGTCCATTCCAACGTTACTCTTGAAACTGACACTTTTTCCTTTCTTGCTCGATTGCCTCGGCTGCCTGTAGTCAGGATCTTCTTGTTTCAAAGCCTCTTGTAAGTCTTGACATAGAGTGTCGTGTGCAGCCAAAGCATCCATATCTAACGGTATCTTTGTTCTAGTGGTTATCATGTCAGCTGCGGTGATCAAGTGAGTGATGTGCTCCTGAGTCGATTTCTTCATTTGGTCCAGTTCTGTCTTTACTTCTTCAGTCCTACCCTTGACTTCACCAATGAGGAGTTCTTTCTTTTCTGTCAACGGCCGGACTGATTCTTCGTATACTTTATTGATATCATCTGTACACTGCTTCTGAACATTGCTCACGCGCTCCTTCTGTTCATCAATGAAATCAACGTATTTCTGAAAGGAAGAGCGTTTCTTGTCCGTCTTGGATTTGAGGTCCTGGATACTCTTCATATGGTTGCCTTCATAAACAGCTGCCTCGATGACCCCATGTCCTTCCTTTGTATGATCCATGACAACACACCTGAAGCAGGCGAATCTCCTGCAGTCGGAACAGAAGCACTCCTCATCTTCTTTAGGGTGTTTTCTGCATTTATGATACCTGCGTACTGACACCTTCCCTGATACGATCTCACCTATGGCTAAGACCTCATGACTGATGAATTGTTTCCACTGAGAGTGTGTCTTGTGACAAGTGATACAGAGATACGTGCCACAGTCTTGACAGTAGACAACAGCTTGGGGTTTGTCCTCGGATTCACAATTCGTGCAAAACTGATATTGATCCCTCACGTCATCTATGAGAGACTTCAAAGCTAGATTAGCCGGTAATTTGCTGACATCTTGGTTTGGGACCTTGGTTTCAGCTCTGCAGATAGGGCATCGGAGCATCTGGTCATTACCATGGCATTTCAAGAGGTTTTTCAGACAGGTTTTGCAGTAGGTGTGAGAACATGACAGGATCTTGGGATCGGTGAAGCTGTTCAGACATACAGGACATTCCAGATTCTGAGCAACAACATTCTTAAATGCATCAGCCATGATTCGAATTCTACAGGAATACGAGATAAAAGAAAAGGAATAAAAAACCTAATGATAATAATAATAAAATTCAGTTCTTGTGTAACGCGTATCACATTATAAAAACGTCCCTATGTGCGTCCAAAGAGCTTTGGAAATTATTACCCTAGCTTTAGCTCCGGCAGCCGTTATCAGCGCCCAGTTCATTTCAAGGAATAATCCTCCCAGGTACCCGTTTACCTCACCTGGGTTGAGGTGAGGTAAATGTAGATGAATGTCTTGCCAAAGGATATTAGTGCCGTGGCGGGACTCGAAACGCGGACCTTGTGATCTGCTGTCCGGTGGCATATGCACTCGACCACGATTTGATTCGATTCATCTGATCTTATTAACAGGGGTGTTTATCATTTTCCTCACGCCTTTCCCCAACAGATTATAACGTGCACAAAAAATGATATACCGTTATATTTTGATAAAAATAATTATTGTTATTCATCCATTAAATGTAGCCATGGATGATAAATTTGGAAAAAAATAGTTTCCTTGGTCGCTCTTCAGTTAATGTACAATATAATAATCTCAATAATATTAACGAAAATAGTAATAACAATAATAATAGTAATAATGATAATAACAATAATAATAGTAATAATGATAATAACAATAATAAGAAAAATGATAGTAATAGTAATATAAACGATATCAATAATATGATAACAAGTTTTCTAACGCGAAAAACGTCGGTCCCGAGGTCACGATCAAGTAAATTATTACAGTCTTATATTGTCTGGTTTCTGAGATTTGTACTGTTTTGTGTAGTTTTGTTTTTGCAGCCTGTCTTCGTTCTTCTTCAAACTGATATCATTTTCTAAACACCCATCTTTTCCATCTTGGTCTTAGCTCAATCGCTCTCCATTAATCACCTCCGAGACATCTAGATCACTGAATTCTACATTCTTCTTCAAACTGATATCATTTTTTAAACATCCATCTTTTCCATCTTGGTCTTAGTTCAATCGCTCTCTATTGATCACCTCCTAGACGTCTAGATCACTGAATTCTACATCATGTATATAGCGAACAGTTCAGTGATCTAGACCCAGGTTTGGCTATGAAAAAATATATATTTATAAACCAGTTACAAACAAAGCCTAAAGAGTGTATGGGAGTTTAGTCTACCTAATAGTTATAGTTTATATATTCATTAATATATACGTCGATGTAAAAACGAAAGTATTGAAATGTCACCATGCATATTTCTTTTGGAAATAACACAAACATTCACTCACCTCTTTTCCAGTCGCGATATTGGTCTAGGTGTTAAATGAAATCAGTAAACATGTAAACTATTTGCCTTTTCGATGTAGTGTTGCACTAATCGTAAGTAGTACTAGTATACACACGTATATGTATTTAGTGTGGCAGTCTATTTTTAGGCACTGGGAATTCCCACCGACCTTTGACAAACAAGCAGATTGAGGTTTATAGTCCTAAAAATGATCGCCCAATAAAAATTCGATCTCATTTGGTCAAACGTCTGTAGAGCACATATAAGCCCGTGTCAAATAGTGAATTCTATTTATGTTACCCCCCCCCCCCCCCCATTACATAAGACCTCTAAAGTTAGATTCAAATTACTGTTGGCAAAGTCTCGTGGAACGGCCCTCCTTCCAGATTACAATTTGAATGTTGGAGATGGCGCTAAACATGCTAAACACATCCGGCCGAAAAGGAAAGAAGTAAAGAATATTTTCTATCTTTGACCTTTACGTAAATATATTGTCCTATTCATCAGGCTGAGAGAGCTAAGAAGATTCGATTATTATAGTTTCGGGTTGTTTAGGGGCTATTTTGCCATAAACTACAAGACAGAGTGCTGAAAAGGTTCCACCCCGCGGCCTAGCTCCGGATCCCGAGTTATAAAATTGCAATTCGGGCACGGGGAGTCGCCACCCGATTCTGACAGTTTCGTGATATTTAAACAGCCTAGTCTCCTATTTATATGTTTATATCGTATTTTATACGCCCTGATATTATAACAAAAAATCAGTCAATTGAAAGAAATATTTATTTTCTCCCATTCCGACTTTCATTGGTTTTCATATAAAAAAATACTCAAGTGAAAAAAAGGCGCTTACATAATGACAAAAGCAATTTAAAATCATGTTTAGGTTTAAAGTAGTTTCGATTCATTTATCATTTATCATTTTCCTCACGTCTTTCCCTTACGTCTTTCCCTTACAGAATATAACGCGCACACAGTGTAATATTCCGTTATATCTTGTAAAAACAATTCCTGGTTTTCATTAAGTAAGTTAAGTTATATATGAAATACATCAATATGATTAGAAGTTTTCAAACGCGACAAACGTTACTCCCGGTGTCACAGTCAAATACATGAATGTCTTATGGTCTGGTTTCAAAGATCTGTTTTGTTTAGACCTGTTTTTACAGCCTGTTATTTCATGGTTTACCAAATTGATATCCTTTCATAAACACCCATCATTATCATCTTGATCTGAGCTCAATTCCTTTCGATTAATCACCTCCAAGATATGGACCAGACCATTCAACTGTTTCGATTTAAGGAAAATGATAATGTTATGAACCAGATACAAACAAGGCCTCTAAAGTGTTTGGGAGTCAGCCTAATATAGTTATATACGACAATGTAAAATAAAATATTGCAATGTCACTGCATTTCTTTGGAAATGACAGACATTTTAATTCACTTACCTCTTTTCCCGTCACTACGTATCGGTCTTGGCAGGCGCTGATCAAAGGGGGGGCGAGCGCCCCCCCCCCCCCACCCCCCGCGAAAAAAAGAGAGAGAGAAGGAAAAGAAGGGGAAGGGAAAGAGGAGAGAAAGGGAAAGAAAAAAGTGGAAGAAAAGAGAAAAAAGGGGAAAAGAGATCGGGGGCAAAAGGGCCTTGCCTCCCCCCATAACAAAATAAGAGAGAAGGGAGGAAAGGGAAAGAAAAAAGGAAAAGAGGAGATAAAGGGGAGGTAATAAACTGAAGAAGAAAAGAAAAGAAGGGGGTATTTCAGATGCAATTTTCCCGCCAACAATTTGTGGACCGGGGGGGGCAAAAGGCCCTTGCCTCTAGAGAAATAGAAAGAAAGAGAGAAAGAAAGAAAAGAAGAACAGTGACCTGCCAGTGCCACAAAATAATGAGGTACTATCAAAATATGCTCATCTGACCGTGATTAAATGCCTAAAACCCCTGAGCTCTGCCCCATGGACCCCACCTAGGGCCCCAAGGTGGCCCCTAGAGGCTCATCTAACGGTAATTTAATGCATAAAAACTCCTAAGCTTCTTGGGGCTCGACTCCCTGGATCCCACGCCAATTAGTGTCCTGCCCCTTTTGTACGCGCTTGCACGCCCCCTCCCCCGCTACGAAATTTGATAAAATTACTAATTAGGTTTTTCATCTTCTTCATTTCATTTATTTCCACTTCTCATAAAACACATCAAACCATTTACTGTACATACAATATATGATTAAGAAAACTAAACAAGTAAATGAAATAACAATTAGAAAGAATTTAGGGCACCAAGAATTTTTACTTGAGACTGTGGTGGAGCAGCCGATTCAAGGAACTCCTTCCCACCGGTACCCATTTAACACTTAGGTGGAGAGTGGCAAATGTAGATTAATGTCTTGCCAAATGACATTAGTGCTGCGACGGGAGTCGAACCGCGAATCATGTGATCCACAGTCCGACGACTTATCCACTAGACCACAACACCTCCTTCGCCAGATAATGTGACTTTTGACCCCCTCCCCCCCCCCCCCCCCCTCCATTAAATCCTCCTGTACACTCCATAGAGTTCATATCCTCTTTTGTAAATACATGTAAAAAATATATATATATATTTATACAAGGTAAAACGTTGTATCAATGACTACAGTTTCGTTTTATGTCAATTCATTCTACCATTGCAATTAAAGAATTAAAAACATACGTGTACATGGAATAACAGAATACATGTACATGTATATGCATTGGTACAAAAATATCAAATTGCTTGGTAGGTAGCAGCCAGAAAAGAAGTGACCTTTATAAGTGGCAGACCTAAAGAAGATATAATTAACAATTAAATGTATGTATCATATTATAATGACATGACAAAACATAACATTCCTACCACTAGGAAACACACATCACAGTGCATCATATTATACAATTCAAAGTTCTAATTAGATTAATATTTTGCAAGAATAACTATAAGTTGTTTCTTGTTTTAATCACTTTTTATGTTTGCTTAGTTATTTAGTTTGAATTCGTGGTTAATCATTATCTTGGTTGAAGCCGAGTTGGTAGACCATCTGAAATATCTTTCTTTAAAATATCTTTCTTCTGTTGCTGTTGATAAAATGGCAAAGCGTGACGACAAATCGAAATTATTACTCTCGCCTCACAGATTCCTCCTCCTTGCACAGACGAAACGACACACGTGTCAAGCCAGCGTTTCACGTCCGAAAATGTCCAAAACATAATATTCATTTTTTGTAAAAAAAGTTTTGATGATAATATAGTGTATTTTTTTATAATGTTTAAAGAAATCTTCAGTACAGAGTGAACAAAGAGGAAAGTAAAATCACTAATTTTCAGATTTTTTCGCAAAACTAATAAAGACCATTTGCTCAAAATGGAAACACAAACAAAATGTAATATCTCCAAAAAGTGATGAATGAATCGGGTATTTTTGACAAGTCCCATGCCATTTTTCCCATGTAGGGCATACTTTTCCAGACGGAAAGTAAACTTAGGAAACAAAATACAAGATATCACAGTCAATAATATTCAAACACATACCCCTTATTTTGTTATTTGCTTTTACAATATTTTTACAACATATATCATACAATCAATATGTCGACTTTCAAAACTCTTGAACCTTCTAGTACAAAACTATAGAAATTGTAAGAAGTAGAAATTATTATGAAAAATGGCATATCTCCTCATGATTCTGTGGAAGAAAAATCTAGTTTGATTAATCAGACAGTGATCTGAAATGCATTGGATAAAATAAATAAAACAAAAACAGCAATATATACAATATTTCATTATTAGGATGATTACCCCTTACTGTAAAATAATATTTTAGTCCGCGATAATTACATTGTGTCTACATCATTTATACATTTATAACAGCTACCAAAAAAGTCACATCCACATGTAAAGTAATCATGAACTGTTTCCTAACAAAATCTTGAAAAATAAACACATCAGAAGTATGTTAAAAGATAGGTTACTTGTTATATTTTAGAAATGTGCAAGCATTCAAATCGAGCATGATCTAGGAATGTCATTTCTTAATTATTCACCAAAAATCCATTTCATCCAGTTAAGAATATAATTGATTCCACTGGATATTATATATTATTACTTTATGAAGTCACAGAAAAACATGCCTCTCAGAGGAAACATGTATTTCTATTTTTTATTTTTGGTTTTGGCGATACGAGGTGAATTTTTGTATAGATATTTGACAAAGAATCTAAAACAAATAAAACTAATATAAGCACACACACGCACTCGCTTACTTACATAATAGACCCACATTCTTGTTCTCTCTAACACACACACACACACACACACACACATTTCAAGGAAATGTTATGTTATCCTAAATTTTTCAGCTTGCCTGTTTTGACCAGAAAATAGAGGTCTGGTCACACATATCGCACCACCACCGCCTTTCTTCCTACGGGCCTGAAGACAGTGGTATCATACAGTGCAATAAATGGGGAGTCATCCATTATTTTCTGTCGAATATATAGAGCCTATCAGAAGTACAGAGAGCGATCTCTCCTGATCGGTACTGCTGGAGATAGCACCACTCTCTCTCGGGCTTCTCAATCTTGTAATCCAAGACAAGGTTCTGGACATGCTTCAGCTCGTTAGTGTACTCATCAATACTGACTAAACCAACATGGTGCTTCACGGTGGCTATCAGGATTGTATTCCCTTGATATACAGCGGCGAATGGAGAATCACCGAATTGCGTTAGTTTATATTTTATAACACCTTGTTTGTCGATCAATCGTATTGTATCAACAGATGTGATGATCAGGTAATCATTATAACTAGTAATCTGCTCAGGTTCATAACCATCACATGGTATCTCCCTGATCGCCTTCCCACCTGCTGGTAAGAATACCTGGATCTTTTGAGCTTTCCTGTAGCTGACATATATCTGATCATCACTGTCTACAGTGAGGTCAGGAAATCCACCTTCATCGTCACTCAGAGTCTTAAATATTATATTCAACTTTGTGTACTGTAGTGTGTACAGTGTGATAGTGCTTGAGGAATCAAGTATAACACACCGATCATCAGAGAGGAACCCTACTCCA